GTTCTTTGTACTTTTTTTTTTTAAGATTTTATTTATTTACTTGTCAGAAAGAGAGAGAAAGAGACAAAGAGAGACAGAGCACAATCAGGGGGAAAAACAGGCAGAGGGAGAGGGAGAAGCAGGCTCCCTGCTGAGCAAGGAGCCTGATGCAGGGCTCGATCCCAGGACCCTGGGATCATGACCTGAGCCGAAGGCAGACCCTTTATCAACTGAGCCACCCAGGCATCCCTCTTTGTACTACTCTTATTCTTGCAACTTTTCTGTAAGTTTGAAATTATCTCCAAGTAGGGGCGCCTGGGTGGCTCAGTCAGTTAAGTGTCTGACTCTTGATTTCAGCTCAGGTTATGATCTCAGGGTCCTGAGATTGAGCCCCAGTGTCAGGCTGCACGCTGGGAGTGGAGTCTGCTGGAGATTCTCTCTCTCCCTCTGCACCCCTCTCCCCCTCACCCAGGAAAATGTGCATGTGTTCACACTCTCTCTCTTTAAAAATAAATAAAAATAGGGGCGCCTGGGTGGCTCAGTCAGTTGGGCGTCTGCCTTCGGCTCAGGTCATGATCCTGGGGTTCTGGGATTGAGTCCCGCATAGGGCTCCCTGCTAGGCGGGGAGCCTGCTTCTCCCTCTGCCCCTCCCCCCTCATGCTCTCTCTGTCTCATTCTTTCTCTCTCAAATAAATAAATAAAATCTTAAAAAAAGATATTTGAAAAATAAAAATATTTAAAAAAGAAAAAAGACATTATCTCCAAATAAAAAGTCTAAAAATAACACACTCTTTGCATAACTAATTTATATTGTTAGAAGTTAGGGTAATGGGCTATCCACTAGGGCAGAAGAGTGAGTATAAGAGAGCATGAGTGGGCTTTTAGTATGTTAATAATGTTATTTCTTGATTTGGAAGCATTCACAAATGTGTTCAGCTTGAGAAAAATCATTTGAGTTACACTTATGTGTACTTTCCTATATTTCAATAAAAACTTAACAAAATTAAAAAGACCTGCCAAAGGACCAGAGCAAAATTTTCTAGAGATGGAGTCTAAATACTTTTGTATTTCACTGATCGGAAAATTGAAAACACTTGCCTATGTATGTCTGTACAATGTAGACAGAACACTCTTTGAGGGCAGAGATTGTGTCTTCTTTCATATATTATTTATATGTAGTAGAAGCCTGCCATGTAATTTTTCTCAATAAATACAGTAAATAATTTCCCAATAAATATCCTATAATATAAATTTTCATTAAGGTAATTATCTTGATGCATTTATTTTAATCAGTTTAATTATCAAATTATTTATTACAAATCATTTCTCAATAAATAAATATGCTTGTTAGTTGGCACTGGGTTAAATGGAAACTATTTTTCTTTTTAATGGTAAGAGTTTATTTGAGCAAAAATCAATTTGAATTGGGCTGTGCCAAACTGGAAGTGGTTAGAGTGCTCTACCCACCTGCAGGAGCTAGAAGACTTCTACAGAGAAGGGGAAGCAAAGCAAGGAGTTATTTGATTGGTTATATCTTAAGAAGGTATTTGCCTTATTTGGAAAGGTCTCACTGACTTTTTGTGATAGGTTGTCCTTAGGTTTTTTTTTTTATTTTTTAAATTGAAGTATATGGTTGACACACAATGTTACAATAGTTTCAGGTGTACGACATAGTGATTGGACAAGTCTATACATTATGCTATGCTCACAAGTGTACCAACCATCTGTTCCAGACAATGCTATTACAATACCAGTGACTTCCCTATGCCGTACCTGACATCCCTGTGACTTAATTCATTCCATAACTGTAAGCCTGTACTCTAATTGGGAACCATTTTAAGATCACATTAATTTAGGGGCGCCTGGGTGGCTCAGTCGGTTAAGCGTCTGCCTTCAGCTCAGGTCATGATCCCAGGATCCTGGGATAGAGCCCCGCATGGGGCTCCCTGCTCCGCGGGAAGCCTGCTTCTCCCTCTCCCACTCCCTCTGCTTGTGTTCCCTCTCTTGCTGTCTGTCAAATAAATAAATAAAATCTTTAAAAAAAAAGATCACATTAATTTAATGTTACAGTTGAATTACTTTGCCTTTGGTCCCAATTCTTTTATCTTGAAATTACCCTCTTGTAAAACATTGTTCTTATCCCTACCCAAAAAGCACTGTTAAAGAAAATTAAACTTGGGGCGCCTGGGTGGCTCAGTTGGTTAAGTGACTGCCTTCGGCTCGGGTCATGATCTCAGGGTCCTGGGATCGAGCCCCGCATCGGGCTCCCCGGTTGGCGGGAAGCCTGCTTCTCCCTCTCCCACTCCCCCTGCTTGTATTCCCTCTCTCGCTGTCTCTCTGTCAAATAAATAAAATCTTTAAAAAAAAAAAAAAGAAAGAAAGAAAATTAAACTTAGTTTGAGGATTCTGTAATAGTCCTTCGTATACACAGTGAAAAAACAGAGGAAGAACAATCTTGGCCGGACTCACACTTTTCACAACTCCTAATATTTTTCTCCTGTTAATCAGTTCCATGTTAGGATCCAAAAACATGTTTCAAGGATCATTCAGATGTCCTCTCTGATCAGGACTTAGAAGTGATTCACCGTGACTACTCCACTAGCCCTTGTATGTTTTAAAAAGGCAATTAAAAGAAAAACTTTCCACGGACAGACACAGCCTCATGAACACTGGGCTGGGACAGCAGAATCTATCCCAGCTCTCAGCTAGATACCGGTGTCATGTACAAATTGTACATCCATATGCAGCCACCCTGTGACTCATCTTTGTCTCAGAAACTTTTTCTTCTTAAAATCATGACAATGATTTAAAGTCATTTATTTATTAATCTACATTTTATATATGTTCCCACATTTAATACGGTACTTGGTTTCTTCTCTCCAAATGAATAATCATATCATTCCCTTTTATAGAAAACCTTCCTTTTATTGTCCTGTAGCTCTTTGACTTACATCAACTATGAGTACTTACCTGATAAGCCATGATAGTACCATAATACCTCCAAGTCCTTTTACTTCCTACTAGTCTGATCATTTGATTTTTTATGTTTATAAACTTACTTCTCAATAATTGCACAAGTGGATTCAGCCTTGTTTTACACAAGAGACTCCTAAATGAAGAGCAAAGCTCTTTTGGGCAGAAACTATTCTTTTTAGTTGCATAATTTCCTTCAAAATCCTCATACCTGCAAAGAACCCTATAGGCTAGAAAATGCTTTTTTGAGATAGGTGGCTGCCTGCTTCCTAATTTAGTTAGATACCTGAGTCAAACAGTACTCACAGATTTCTAATATCTTTCATATAAATGGTTGAGTATCTGAAAGCTGAGTCTTCGTTATATATGTTAACTCTATTCTGTGTTCCAAAAGCACAATATAAAAGACTGAAATGTAAAACAGACAAATCAGAGTATACTTATAAATTAACTAAAAAAACAAAGTTCCTTTAACACATCTAAATTAAATATATGTATATATATTAAGCAATATTTATTATACAAATCATATATATACATATATGTAAAACCTATTACTGTTTATATGGTAAAACTTCACTACTTCAGAATAGTAGCTAAATGCCAATTATAAAAGTTTAACACAACTTATTTTCAAGTATCTTTGTTGACTATAATTGGGCTAGTAGTGTGCCAAAATATAAAGATATAAAAAGATAAAAGAAGATCTGCTTTTTAAAATATATACGGGGGCGCCTGGGTGGCTCAGTCGTTAAGCGTCTGCCTTCGGCTCAGGTCATGATCCCAGGGTCCTGGGATCGAGCCCCGCATAGGGCTCCCTGCTCAGCAGGAAGCCTGCTTCTCCCTCTCCCACTCCCCCTGCTTGTGTTCCCTCTCTCACTGTGTCTCTCTCTGTCAAATAAATAAATGAAATCTTTAAAAAAATAAATAAATAAATAAATAAATAAAATATATACGAATTCATAATCAAGAGGTCAATTATTTGAATATGTTGAAAAACATGGAAGTGTTTTGCTATAAGAAAAACAATTCCTGGACGCCTGGGTGGCTCAGTTGGTTAAGCAACTGCCTTCGGCTCAGGTCATGATCCCAGGGTCCTGGGATAGAGTCCCTCATTGGGCTCCCCCTCCTCCTCAGCAGGGAGCCTGCTTCTCCCTCTCCGTGCCACTCCCCCTGCCTGTGCTCTCTCTCTCTCTCTCTGTCAAATAAATAAATAAAAATCTTAAAAAAAAAGGAAAAACAATTATTTTAATCTCATTTACATAATGAATCTGTTTGAGAGACTTTATTTAAAAAGAAAACGTCAATTACTATCTTATTTCCTGCCTAATACATAAAACAATCAGTATATATTCAATAGGTGCTCTTTTCTCAAAATAATACCATGTAACTGCCATCATTATGTACGATGCCAAATAAGAAGGCTAAATAGTTCCAACATACATCTGTCTGCCTCCCTTCCAACACATACCCCTATAGAAGAAAAGACCAATCAGAACAATTCATTAGTTTTTATCTGGCATTCTACATATTTTAGAATTCAGAAGCTCCCCAAAACATTAGGCTGAGGGTGGTATCTATTATCAAAACATCTCTATAATACTTAAAAAAAAAAAAGAAAATATTGATGCGTATTTAAAATCCTAACTGTACTGTTTTCATACTTAGGATGTACCTAAGTTTATTTTACAACTGTATAATATGGGTGATACAACTTCTCATTGGACTTAACGGGGCTAACAGTCCCATTTTAAGTTCTTTTCGAGTAATTAAAAATCTAAGAAGCATCTCTGCATAAGCTACATAAACTGATTTCAAAGGTTTTATAAAAAATGAATGAATATATAAAACTCTCCAGTTCACAAAACTAATAACATTCTTCTTAAATTAAATACTAACAACCCTTAGCCAGTTCTCCAAGTTGTTCTAGAAACTGAATGTTTTAACTCAAGAAAAAGCACACATTTATTAGTTTTAGTGATCATACACTGACTTATGAAGTAATGTTTCAAAAATTGTTTTTAAAAACATGTTTCTGGAAGTCTTACCATGAGCTGTGTAGTTTGTACAGTTAACTGGTTCTTGTGTAGCATCATTTATTTTTGGATCTTTACAAATATATGTGAGAAAAGTTAAGGAAATATGAACCACATCCCAACACAAAACACTATCATCTTATCTTTAATATCTTGTATTATATACTCATGTTTACATTCACACGTTAAAAAAAAAAGCTGTTGGTCCAAAGCAACAAGCACAACCAGAAATATACCTTTAGCATTACTAAATACTACTTGAACATTAATTTATTACAGGAAAAGTATGTTAACTTAATACTTATTAAAAGCTCTAGCAAAGGATGCCATCCTTAAAGAACATCAGTCAGCATAGAGCATAAAGGAAAATTGGAAATTAAAATCTTTACCAAATTATTGTAAGAGAGTTTCAGGTTGGAAAAAATCAGTTTCCAGAGATTTGACTGAACTAATTTATGGGGCCCCACAGTATTGTCACATACATAACTTCATGTAGCACAAATAACCCTGTGAAGTAGATAGTATTATTCCCATATCACAGAAGCACAAACTGAGGCTCAAAGTTTGAGAGACCTATCCAAAGTCATATAATAAGTGATAGAGAGTAAAATCTGGTTTCCTGATTCCAAGCCTAGAGCGCTTTCCATTAGACTGCAGAGAAGATAGTTCTTTTAGGTGAGTCTACATGGTCTCCCCAACAGAATCTTAAGTTTTGAAAACAGGTATAATAACTGTCCTCTAATTTCAAAACACGCGCAGGCGGCTTTTGTTTCCTAAGTATTTTATTGTCACTAAAATGGGATAAATAAGGTTTTCATAAGATGTCTCTGGAAACAGAGAACCTGACACCTGTTTAAGGTTTTTTAAGCACTACTGGAAACTTCATCTTCATGCCAGGAGTAACAGACATTTTCCAGTTTTCATCACCAAATGCTCAGCCCCACCTCTCTAAGGTTCAAATCGTACAACTCTTAATACCATCCAATTATTTCTTCAAATCGCTGACATTTTTGCCAAAGAAGACTCAACTTACTAGGTCTGTGATTCTCAAACTCCAAGCATAACGGTATTCAGTAAATTAGAGCTATTGTGTAAGCATCTAATAATGGCTGCTTCTCTCCAACTTACATAAAAATACTATATGATAGAATTTTCTTAATTTTAAAATTTTGTCTCAAGTCTTTCTTATATCTCTGGCTTCTGTTATTAATTTTTCTGCTCTACAACTTCTATAAAATGATCTAATTTTGTACAAAAGTAGCTATTTTGACTGTAACTCCCATTTCATATGGATCATCAGAGCTATTAAAATGAACAGATCCACTTAACCCCTTCAGCCTGTTTCCTCATCTGTAAATAAGTAACACAGATAGTCCTTACTATGTGCCAGGCATTGTTCTATGTGATTCACTTGCACTACTTTCTCACAACAAACCTTTAAGTTGGTACCATTGTTATCTACATTTTTACTCAAGAGAAAACAGAGTTCTGATAACTGGCCCACAGTTAGAACACGGAGGAGTTTGCCCCTGACAGTCTGGCATCTCACGGAGTTTGACGATGATGTAAGGTAATAAGCAAAGAGTTAATGATAACTGGGCAATATACAAGGAATATATCGTTAACTACTTATTTGTCTCCGCCCCCAAGTCAGCTAACTTCTAGGGTGGAGCCTATCAATCTTTTTGTTACTAGTGCCTAGAACAGAGCTTGGCATACTTCAGGATCTAGGTGTTTGTTGAACAAATAAGCCCACCAGTAATTAATTAATAAAAATTGGTGGATCAGAAGAGGAAGCGCTAACAATCAGTAAAATCCCAAGGAAATCACGCTATCCTTCCCACCCCCACATCTTTTTTCACATCCGAGAGTCCGTCGGTCATTAAAAGCCACAAGTCACCAATCCCTTAAACACAACCCTGGCCCCTGTTGAGGGCCGCGACCCACTCGCGACCCCTAATCTACCTCACCCCCAAGGCGGAGGGGGGGGCTCCTCACAGAGGATATTGTCCCAATTTGAGGTCCTCGCACTTAAGCGTCTCCTCGCCACCGGCGGCGGCGATGGCAGCAGCTCCCCAAGGTCCCGTGGTGACTGACACGAACCACAGGACACGGAGGAGCTGGGGGGCCACGGCCCCCGGAGCTGCCGGCCAAGGGGCCGCCATGCTGGGGACCGGCGCGTCCCCCACCACTTCCGGTTCCGCCTTTGCCTAGGCGGGGACGGGAGAAGGGCGGAGGGAGCGAGGCTCTTAAAGGGACCGTGCCTCGGTTGGAGGCCGGTTTTTTCCCCTACAGGGCCGCGGATTTTCCTGGGAGAGCTGTGATTTGTCTTTGAGATCCGCAAGAAGGCTGGCTTTGAGAATCAGCGGCCCTGCATCCACTGCTTCCCGAGCTAACCCTGCTGTGACTTTTCCACCTACAAATGTGCCAGCGGCACCCCGGAGATTTGTTAAGCGCTTTACAAACATTATCTCGGTTGGACCTGGTAGGATTTGGGTTTACAGATAATGAGCCCGGCTCAACGACGCTAAAAAACATGTCGACCTTAGTTACTGAATTGGGATCAAACTGATATTTGCCCGATTTCAGAATCTGTGCTCTTACTGTTATGATATAATGACCTATCTGTTCGCTTAGAGAAGAACTTATGGAAGGCTCTTAAACAGAACTTAAGGACTCCATCACAAAAATAGGCATTACACTTGTTTTTAGTAGTGGACATTTATGCGAGCGAGAGGGCCTGTGAGAAAAGGATGTTAAAGAATTTACGACTACACTAAGTGAAAAGTTGGAGGTTTTTTCCTCCATCTCTTCTTTCTAAATTTCTGTATATTCTAAAAATTCTGTAGTGGGTATATCTTTTATCCTGGGCAATACGTTTACTTTCTTTAGTGAAAGTTTAAGCCATCTTTTCTTTTTTTTTTTAACGTAAAAATATTTGAATTTTGCGTCTTCTCATTCACAGTAGCACTAATTTTGACGAATTGCATCATGCAGTGATTCTCAAATTTTAGGGCGTATCAGAGTTACCTGGAAACCTTGTTATAACACCAAGAGTGGGACCCACCCTCAGTTTATGATTATGAAAATTTAGGGTGGGGCAGGGTAATTTGCATATGTAACGAGTTTCCAAGAGATGCTGAGATTGCTAGTCCAGAACCACACTTTGAGAAGCATCAGATAATGTATTATTCGAAGTATCATTTTGGAATAGGAGGACATGAAATTATTTGCAGTAATATTTTAGTATTGTAACTACAGTTAAAATTTTTCTTAAACCAATTTTCCGGCATTACTATGCTATTTTTATTTTTATTTTTATTTTTTTGAAGATTTTATTTAAAGTAATCTCTACACCCAAGTTGGGGTTTGAACGTACAAGCTGGAGATCAAGAGTCGCAGGCGCCCCAACTATGGTATTTTTAAATTAAAATATTTATGCTTAATTAAAGATTTAAGTGATAGGAAATTTGAAATTTACTAGTTCAATTTTTAAACTTTCTGTTTTAAGTTGACTTCTCTCTTTTTTCTCTTTCCTCCCTTTATTCTTTTCTTTTTTCTTTTCTCTCTCTTCCCCTCCGTAGAAATATTTATCAAGCATTTACTATGTGCCCAACATCAGGCAAGACCCTACAGACTCAAAAAATGAGGAGACAAGAACCTAGTAATTAAACATGTTATGTTTACTAGGGGAAAAGCTAAAGAGTTAAAGTACTATTTGACAATTGTTAAAATAGAAGCCTGTACTAGTTACTGTAGTAGGACAAAGGTTTGGATTAGATATTCCCCCCAAGACAGTACTTGATACACAATGTTTTGTCACTAGATAAGAGTAATTAAAAATGTTGTGACTCTGTCACTAGTCATAAGAATTAAAAATCCAGGCCAAGGGGCACCTGGGTGGCTTAGTTGTTAAGCGTCTGCCTTCGGCTCAGGTCATGATCCCAGAGTCCTGGGATTGAGTCCCACGTTGGGCTGCCTCCTCCGCGGGAAGCCTGCCTCTCCCTCTCCCACTCCCACTGCTTGTGTTCCTGCTCTCACTATGTCTCTGTCAAATAAATAAATAAAATTAAAAAAAAAAATCCAGGCCAAACTGGAGGAACAGAGTTGTATCTTCATAGGATACATGACCATCTAAAAACATACAGCCTAGGGCGCCTGGGTGGCTCAGTCGTTAAGTGTCTGCCTTCGGCTCAGGTCATGATCCCAGGGTCCTGGGATCGAGTCCCACATCGGGCTCCCT